GTGATTTGGGATGATTAGGTCTAGTTTTGTGTCATCTTACTTGCCATTCTCCATACTCGAGGGCACTGATGGTAATTGCTGGGCTGCGTGACTCAGCGGAGAGGAGCAAACAGTAGACCGTCAGAGGCTCAGAGGCATCCAGAGGACGCCGTGGACACCGAGAGGGAGAGCCGGGGCCCTGCCCGTCATTTTGTAGCTTAGAATTTAGTCGTAGGCCGGAGGTTGGAGCGGGAGAAGGCCTGGGTACGTGACTGATTGTCTGCATTTTAGTTGCTCGTTAGGGGAGCAGGGCGTTAGCGGGTCAAGGCAACAAGGATGACGGGGTTGCTCCCCAGAACCTTGCTCCTGCAGCACAAGGACCGACCTTCTCGTGCTGCGGACGTGGAGCACCATGTCCACAGGGAGGCCGGTGTTGGTGGCTCCTCACCAGCAACAGGCCCTACAGCGAGCTTGATGACGTCAAGACGGAACCTCCCGCATGCAGTGCTTTCTAAGTAAAAGAGCCCTGGAGATCCAGGGAACGTAGTGAGCTGAGCCTCAGAACCCCTTAGAGGCACCCGAGCCGGGCTCGGCTTACAGCTGGTCACGCCTACAGCAGCTCCTTCCTGCTTCTTACTTGCCGAGAGCACGGAGACTTGCTTCTGGAAACAATATGCGCAGCCCCGAGGGACGAATCATGACGGACGAGGTTCTCACGTCCCTCCTTACTCTTTGGGCCTGGTGCCCACTGTCCCAGGCTTCTCTGCCACCACGTACCCACGGGAACAGCTCCACCCAAGGAGAGGTTGGCTAGAGGACTTGGAAAGAAAAGATAATTCCTGCAGAATCAAAGATCAGAGCGTTGTGAGGAGAAGGACGTTGGTTCTTTCTTCTTGTTTGGGAGCTGGTGTGCAAGCCGGGGCTGCAGCAGCCATTCTGCAACCAGAGCAGTGAGTGTGAGTGCATCACGTGGACGACTGGGAAAGTATGAAACCAGCTGGAGTCCTTGGTAATATCCTAGAGCCCCTGCCCCCAGGCTTCTTGCTGCAGAAGATTTTTTTTTTTAAGATTTTATTTATTTATTCATGAGAGATACAGAGACACAGGCAGAGGGAGAAGCAGGCTCCATGCAGGGAGCCTGATGTGGGCCTCGATCCCAGGTCTCCAGGATCATGCCCCGGGCTAAAGGTGGCGCTAAACTGCTGAGCCACCGGGCTGCCCCTGCAGAAGACAGTTAATAAAAGTCTTCACTGCCCAAGTCGCTGCTAGTCAGATATTCTGTTACATGCAAAGGAAAGTATTCCCAATGGATATGCCGACTCCTCCAGCCTGGCCGGGGTGCATTTGGCTGACAGCCCCACCACAGCAGCTTTGCAGCCAGTCCGCCTCGAAATAGGGATAAAATGCCGTCTTTACCTCAAGTAGGTTCTGACTCAAGAAGATCAGAATGTGGTTTGAGGATCAGCAAACCAGTATCCCCGGGGAATTTGTTCAAACTATGGATTCTCAGGTTCCCACCTCAGACACACTGAGTTGCACAGGTTGCGGAGGGAACCGCGTAGTTTTCCAGGTGATTCTGGTGCGATGGAAAGTTTGAAGACCATTGGTATAATAGAGTCAAAAGGAGTGGTTGCAGGTCAGAAAAAAAAAATACCTGGGGAATTTAAAGAAAGATTCTCGGGGACCCCTGGGTGGCTCAGCGGTTTGGTGCCTGCCTTCGGCCCAGGGCGTGACCCCAGGGTCCTGGGATCGAGTCCCGTGTCGGGGTCCCTGCATGGAGCCTGCTTCTCCCTCTGCCTGTGTCTCTGCCTCTCTCTCTCTCTCTATCATAAATAAATAAATCTTTTAAAAAATTAAAAATAAAAATAAAAATAATAAGAAAAGATTCTCAAGCTCCCCGTGCGGAGATCTGATTTAGCAGTCCCGCAGTATAGCCTACGAATGTGTACATCCCGAAAGGCCCAGGTGATTCTGAGCAGGCCAGGCTTGAAGCCGGAGGATGCGTGTGAAAGCGGGTCGCAGTGCAAAGGGGCTGTCACGCAAGTAAGAGGTGAGGAGTTGTCACGGGCACTTCTGGGCCCAGGGGAACCACATTAGGGACGTTTTCACCTGGCGAGTGATTGATCTTAAAAGCCTTTTTCAGACTTAAAATTCCTAGGATACCAGCCTGAATTCTGATGGGGCTGGAACAACTGAAATTGGTGATTACAAACACTAATGAGCAACAAGTAGAAGAACCTGGAATTTTACTAACGTCAAAAAAGCTGCCTCTACCCCCCACAGCCAGTCCCCATAAATGCAAAACAGGTTTTCTCTTCTGCTGTTACCAGGTTTTTGAGACATCAGGTTTGCACGTCCAATGTTCATTTATAGAGTGCTAGACTACACCTGCTTTGTGCCAGGCTTGTGCTTTGGGGGTTATTTTACTTGGAGAATATTATTTTTAAATAACATCTTCAGAGAGCTTGCTTGTTAGGGATCAAAACTACTTACAGAAGCAGCTACTCACGGTCCGTTCTCGGCCGATTTACCCTCTCTCCTGCCTCGTCTCTGCCTTGTCCTGGAGGTGGCAATCACTTCCGCTCCGTCGCTCAGCTCCCTCTGAGTGAATTAAAACCCATGATGGGGATCCCTGGGTGGTGCAGCGGTTTGGCACCTGCCTTTGTCCCAGGGTGCGATCCTGGAGACCCGGGATCGGATCCCACGTCGGGCTCCTGGCGCATGGAGCCTGCTTTTCCCTCTGCCTGTGTCTCTGCCTCTCTCTCTCTCTCTCTCTCTCTCTCTCTCTCTCTCTCTGTGTGTGTGTGTGTGTGTGTGACTATCATAAATAAATAAAAATTTAAAAAAATAAAAAGGGAGGAGGGCGGGGGGTGGGGGTGAATGGGTGACAGGCACGGAGGGGGACACTTGACGGGATGAGCACTGGGTGTTATTCTGTATGTTGGTAAATTGAACACCAATAAAAATTAATTTATAAAAAAAAAATAAAAAATAAAAAAAAAATAAATAAAAGCTACTTGCCAAAATGAGGGTCCCTGGAGGGGAGAGGGATGGGGGGGATGGGGTAACTGGGTGATGGACATTAAGGAGGGCATGTGATATAATGAGCATCAGGTATTATATAAGACTGATGAATCACTGACCTCTACCTCTGAAACCAATAATACATATGTTAATTAATTGAATTTAAATAAAAGTAAAAAATAAAATAAAAAAAAATAAAAAAAATAAAAAATAAAAAAATAAAAAATAAAAAAATAAAACCCATGATGCTGTGGAAAATACCCCATTGATCGAGTTTAGAAGATAACAGGATCCCGATTAATTAAATTTTGAAAATCAGTAAATAAAAGGAAGGGGTAAGCACTTATCCTCCCTTTCCTATGCGAACTGTACCTTGGGGTAATCAAATAGTTGAGGAGAGGAGTGTATCTTCATAGAAGCTGATAAACGGAGAAGGAATGATAAAATCGTATGTATGCCCCTGTTGCAAATTCTAATGGATTTATGGGTCCAGGAGGTGGTTGTCAATGGCTGTTAATGCTACAAAAAGAAGAACAAGACGTTATGTATCTCCTGATGAAAGTCACAACACTGCCTGTATAGTCTTGAAAAAAAAAACAAAACAAAACCATGGGACACCTGGGTGGCTCAGCGGTTGAGTGTCTGCCTTCAGCTCAGGGCATGACGTCGGGGTCCTGGGAATGAGTCCTGCATCGGGCTCCCTGCATGGAGCTTGCTTCTCCCTCTGCCTGTGTCTCTGCCTCTCTCTCTGTGTCTCTCATAAATCAAATAAATAAATAAATAAATAAATAAATAAATAAATAAATAAATAAATAAATAAAATCTTAAAAAAAACTTGAATCTGATTAAAGTCTATAGATAACTAAAAATTGCAGGAAAGGTAGAGAACAGGAACTGGGCAGGCATGAAATGGATACGGTTACCATAATCCAGGCTGGGAAACTTCTTAATTGCGCAGACCTTTAAGGAGCTTCCCCGGTTTGCAGGGCAGCCATCCATCAGATACCTCTTGCTCTGGGAGTGCTTTGCTCCTTTTACGTGAGGCGCCAACGCCCTTGTCTCTGCATTTCAAGTGCTTCTGCTTGCGGAGCTTGGGATTGAGGTTTCCCTGGAAAGGCAGTTTGCAGCAGAACAAGGCAGCCTCTGCAGGGACCACCCCTCGGGGTAACCTCCCACGTAACTTGTAGGAAATCGCTGGAACCCAGCTCCACGTCTGTGTCCTTTCTGCCAGTTTGTTTCTGCATCTTAGAGACCTCCAGGTGGTGCCATAGCCCTGGTTCATGGAAAAGGATGCTCCGTTTACCTAGTCCAGATTTTTTTTTTTTTTTTTTTACCTAGTCCAGATTTTAAGAGGAAATCTTGCAAAGCCACATCCAAATGCCTTGGAACGTGCTCAGGTGCCACAGACAGTGCGATTTAAATCCATAAAATACTCGTGATACTAAAAGTCGACACCACGTGACAGGCACTATCCTAAGTGTCTCCCGTGCATCAATGCGTTGAGTCCCATCACGGTTCTTCTCTCACAGGTGGAGAAACCGGGGACAAAGGAGTGAAGTAACGAGCCCGGGGTGGCAAGGCTGACGGGGAGCCGGGCTGCAGGGGTCCCCGCGGTTCCTGGGATGCAGGCGCTGGGGCAGGAAATCGCCGGGCTTGCTGCCGCGCGGCCCTTTAATGAAACGGCTGTAGACGAACAGTCCGAAAGCCGAAAGCGGCCGGTCTGGCGCTCCTGTTATTTCGTGTGACCAGCAAAGTCGTCTCGTCAGCCTGGGCCAATTTACTCGTCCCTGAAAAGCAGAGAAGTCCCGCCTCTTACCCACAGCGGGTCGTTGTAGGCATCTGTTCAACACTGTCTTTGTTCAGACCTAACTTGGAAGGCAAAGTGCTGTACCGAAGAACAACGTTCTAAGGACTTCCGTCCTCAAATGAGTTTGGGAGGACTTTGGCTTGACATCCGAGGGTAATAAATCGCTTCCATGCAATTATTTGTTTTCAAGGTACCGTGTCGTGCGTGTTGTAAGAACTCGCGCTTAGAAATGCCGACGGCGGGCCCCAAGACCGCTGCGCCCCAGTAGATGCCCAAGGACCCATGGCTCTGGCTGTGCCTCCCACCATGACCGGGCTGCAGTGAGTATCACCGGGGCTTCTCTCAGCCCCTCCGAGTCTCGGGTGCGACCAGCGGCCCCCGCCCGGCCCCGTGGGGCTCCGGGCCACTTTGTCCCTGGGCCTGTCACACCTGCCCTCTCTCCGACTTGACCACTGGGCTCATCTCATATTTCGGTTCATGACAGCGCGGGAGCTCTCCGGCCCAGAACCGTTGCTGTGACTCCTCCCCAAGACGAGGGTCTTCCCACTCGGGCAGCCACGCCACCCTCCTCCTTCAGCGAGGGGCCACGGGAGGCCGGGAAACTTCCAGAGCAAACGTCCGGTCGCGGCTAGGACGTGCTACGGCGATTCCACAAAGTGGGAATCGCAAGGAGATTTAGGAATCACGGGAGGGTTTCTGAGAGCAGGGGCGGAGGTCTCAAGGGAGGAGCCCTGTGGGTGCCTAAACCCGCGGTCCTGTGGACGGCTTCCTCCCGCCGCACACGCCAGGCCACGTCCCGCTGCTGCCCTCCGGCCCGACCCGCTCCCCCTGCCCCCGGCGGCTGCCCTCAAGGCACCTGCCCTCTGCCCCGCGCCCTCGCCCTGCCCCGGGTGAGGCCTGTGGACCTACAGGAGGAACTGACCCCCTTGATCCCAACAAACCCCAGAACTGAACCCAGAAGCGAGGCTGGAGGGTCCTACTCTCCCCTCTGACAGAAGGAGCTCTACAGTGTCCTCCTGCCAAGATGACCACACAACCGGAGGTGGTGCTGGGCTGCTGTGACCTTGGGGGGGAAACAGCACGGAAGGCAGGAAGGCAGAAGGACGTGTCCCCACGCCCGGAGCCGCATCCTCTTAGTCTCAGAAACTACCCCCCGGCCCCGTGAAACCACCTTCTTTTCAGGCCGAGCTCCTCTAGCACCGTGTCTCCCACCCATATCAGAAGATAGGGTGACAATGGGTGGCCCCGACGGAGCCTCTGTTTCACCTCCTCGTGTTTCAACTGGAGAAACTGAGGCTTCTCTGTGTCCCTGTGCCCCAGTGACAAAGGAGGAGACCGAAAACTCTGCAGAAGTTTCACCAAGTGCCCCCATCCCCTACTGGCAGCCCTTAAAGGCGGGGAGATGTAGTAGGACCAGCTCACGTAGGAAGCGAGTAGCACCCGGCTTGGTCAGTTAAGCGTCTGACTCTTGGGCCTCGGCTCAGGTCATGGTATCAGGGTCCTGGGGTCGAGCCCCGCTTGGAGCTCCTGCTCAGCGGCAGTTGGCTCCCCCTCCCCTCTGCCCTCTCCCATGCTCACTTGCTCTAAAATAAATAAGCCAATCCTTAAAAAAAAAAAAAAAGAATATATTACTCCAATATAAAGTCTAGGGGCCCCAATCCTACGGGGTATTTCCACCCGAGTCTTCCACCCGCCTCATAAGGATCCCACCCCATAGCTCCTGTTTGCAGATCTGCCTCCTGCCTGCGCTGTCCGCTGTCCGCAACCGGCAGGGAACACCAGGCTGCAGGCCGGCCCCTCGGGCTCCCCGCGCCCTCCGCCGGCGCAGCACAGATCCTTCCTTCCTCGAGGCATAGAGACCTGCTTTGTCCCTGGGGATTGACTGCCCTGTGGTCCTCTTCCCCAACGCAGGCCTGCCATAGAAGGAGGAATTTCCGAGGTCGAGATCATCTCCCAACAAGTAGACGAGGACACCAAGAGCATTGCTCCCGTGCAGCTGCTAAACTTTGCCTCTCGTGACCTGCCCCTGGCTGCCGTCGACCTCTCCACGGCGGGCTCGCAGCTCCTGTCAAATCTGGACGAGGATTACCAAAGAGAAGGGTAGGTGCCAGGACGGTTGAGTAGCCGAGAAGGCCTTTGCATCACCCCCCGGGGTTTCCGTGGGCACCTCCAGGGAGGCAGCACAGGAATTGCAGACCAGGAACTCACAGCAGCCACCCGGGCGTCGCTTCCCGGGGAAAACGCTCCGGGCACTGCTGGTGCCGCTAGACAGCCTCTGAGGTGACATTTGCTTGGGACTCAGGGATTCATGAAATGGTTTTAGGACCGAATTGCTCCTTAGTGGCCCTTCCAGCCTCCTCTCTGTGCACCGGAGAGTCGGTGCACCCCCCGCCCCCGCCCATTGCTCTTAGAGAATCATGAACATCCGCCGGCCGGGACCCTCGGAGCCCCGTCTGGGCCACTCTCCTTTCTCAGGTTGTGTGCCCGGATTTTGGAACGTGCTGGCTGCTTTGAGAGTAAAAACGAAGGCTCGTTGGGTTACCTTAGAAGCAGATGAGCAGGCTCAGCTACAGTTAGATTTTGCAGAGCTTGGATTTCCTGTGCTTGTTTCCCGGAGGGGCCCTCCCACTTCCCGGGGGAAACTTCCCAGCAATTGTGACACCCCGCAGCTTTTGCCAAAACCGCACCCGAGAGGCTTTCGCTGGAAATGAGACGTTCTCTAGGCATTGGCGCGAGTCAGCAGGAGGGCACCGTGGGGAGAGGATGGGCAAGCAGCTGGGAGGGAGCGAAGGGCTGCAGGGCGGGGAGGACGCGGACCTGGGCACCGAGCGGACCCGCAGGGCGGCCTCTGGATCCCCAGATCCTGGAGGCCCCAGGCCAGGGCCAGCTTCGCCCCCCGCCCCCCCGCCCCCCGCCGGCTCCGCAGGGGCAGAGGGAGACCTGCTTCATTGTTAGGCTTGCTCCTGATTAGAGCCCTACAAGCTTTCTTCTGATTAAGGAGAATACAGATGAGGCGCCTGCAAGGCAGAGAAGCTCTTGGTTTCATTGGAGTCTCCAGGTGCACCCTGGACCGCTGCTCCTGTTGCGTAATTAGGGAGCAGCCAGGGAGGGGATCCGCCTGGCTGCGGGAGCTCTCGCTCAGGAGCTCCGGTGGAGGCCAGAGGGCTTCCTGGAGGAAGAGGAAGCGAAACGAAAGCACGCTGCAGAGGGGACAGGCCTCTCTTCACAAGGCTCCTCGGCTCTGGCTGCATGCATTTCCTGGGGTTTTCTCAGAAATTCCGAACTGGCCTTTTCCGAAACGCCGCAAAACAGCACCACGTGCAGGTCGGGTCAGCCTCAGGTGTGACACGCGTGTCCCCCCTCCCGGAACCTCCCGGAACCCCGCGTTGCACTGTTAACAGAACTCAGCTGAGTAACCGGGAAGCTCCAATCGGCACCGCTCGGGGGTTCCTGGTTCATGAGGTGGGTGGCTCCCACCCCGCAGGCGGCGAGGAGCTCTGGGGAGCTGTGCAAGAGGAGGGCATTCGAGGGAAGCGGAGGCGGGTGGAGAAAGCTGATGGGGCGAGCGCCGACTGCTCAGGGAGGGTCGCCTGCCCTCCGTGAGGTCGCCCGGCGGGTGCTGGCCAGGCGGGGGCTCACACTGACCGGCCAGGGGCCGTCACCCGGGCTCTTGGGCCTTGTTGCCCGCGGGGCCTGCAAAGGTGACTCCTTCGGGGGCTTGGTACCAGTTTCTCAAAACGGTGCAAGATGTCCTGCAGAGACGGGAGGTCTGGTCTGTAGGAAGTGAAGAGGCCTCAGGGCCCCCGGCTGGGCCCTCACGTGGCCGCTCATGTCTCTCGAACTCCGTGCTAGTCCAGTGCGTTCACGTCACCCAGAACCTGAAGATGCTAGAGCAGAAGGGGCCGTAGAAAGCGTCTGTTCTGGGTGTTCCGGCACCACAGAGCCCAGAGAGTGCGAGCAGCCTGCCCGGGTCACACGGCAGCAGCATGGAGCCGAGCCTGCCTTCTCGGCTCCCGGAGCCGACTGGGACGCGGGCTTGCTGCTCGTGCACGGCTGTGACCGCGGCTGTGTGCCTCGCACGCGGGCTACGCCGTCGGGTGCCTGCAACGTGTCAGGGTGCTCCTCAGTCCGCCTTCCCTTCTGCCCTGTGAAGAAGGGGCCGGCGCGGGGATGTGCGTTAGCCCCCGGGCGTGGGGAAGAGGCCCGTCTCCATCAGGCTCCCTGACCTTCCCGAGGGCCCTTCGTCGGCCCGTGTGCAGAGCCCAGACTGAGCTCTCCGCTGCCCGGCTGCACCCAGGCTGCACCCAGGACCCTGCACCCAGGCTGCGGAGGCTTAGGCGGGACAGTCAGCCCCTGTGCCGACCGGCAGCCTTGTCAGCTCACCGCCGCAGCAGGAGCCCCCTGGCTGGTGCCTTAGCCACCCCACGGCTCTGGGACGCGGAGTCCATCCTCACAGTGCCGGCGGGCTTGGTGGCTGGCGAGGACTGGGTGACGGGTGGCCTCTCCTCATTCCGTGTAGGTAGAGGAGAACGTGTGCTCCGGACTCTTCCTCCTCCTGTGGGGCCGTACCTGACCTCACCGGACCCTAATCACCCCCAGAGGCCCCACCGTCATACAACACGTTGAGGGGTTAGGGCTTCCTTGTAAGACTGGTGGGGAGGGGACACACATTTGACCCCTGGCAGCCCGTCCCTAGACCCAAGGTCTCTGCTCTCCGCTCGCCTCTCGGCTCGGCCCAACGGCGTCCCTCAGGGCCCTGGCTGGCCGTCTCCGATTGCTTCCGTTGCCCGCAAGTCCCCGTTGCCTTCAACAATGACCTCCTCCCTCCTTCCTCAGAAAGTAGAAGCCGCCCCGTGGGGCTGCGCCCGCCCCGCTCCTTCTGGGGCACCCGACCCGAGCCCCAACCCCGGCCCTCCCACCTTCTGCGGGATGAATGTGGCTCTGCGGTTCCGTCCTCCTGGGACTTTCCCTGGCTGTGCGTCCCTGTCACTGCCCGCCCGTCCTCTCCGTGTGGCCAGACCCCGAGGGTCCCCCTCCGAGTGCCATGGAGCAAGTGCACACGCTGTGGCCCCTGTACTGCGCCCCCCGACTCTCCAGGGCCGCCGGCTCTTATCCAGCTACCCTGACCCCTCGCAGGGACCCCAAACACTCGGAGCCCTGGCAAGAATCCGATGGAGTAACCTGCTCCTCCCCTGCGCTGGCGGCTTATTTGCCTCATCTCCCTGCGGGTCGTCGCTACAAACGGTGACAGCTCAGGCCCAGCTGAGCAGCCGCCGTGAGGCCTCCAGAAGCTCCGTCTCAAACCCAAACCTGAAGCCGAGCTGTCTATTCCCCCAGAGGGATTTCTGTAGCTCCCGTCAGTGGGCCTGTACCCAGTGGCCCGGCCTCCCCGACCTGTTACCCCCGGATGAGACGCGCCCGTGCTGTGGCTCATTTACAAGGACCCTGAGCCTGCTCGCTGCCCGGAGAGGAGCCGCTGGCTTCCGGGGTGCCGAGCTCCATGGAGCCGCCCATCAGGCGGGGTCTGCACCGGGATGGCGTCCCTCCTGCCCCTCCTCTGGGCCCCTTCCCATCCATGCCCGCTGCCCGTCATGGAAATGCTTGCACCCAGCCCAGCCTTCAGGAAGCACGAAGCTGTGGGCACCCGTGCGGGGTGGGCTCCGTGCCTCTGCACCCGTCTGCAGGCCGTACTGCCCATCAGCGAGCCCTGAAGTGGCTGTGCTTCGGGCCACGGCCCCGTCCCGACTGCGTCTGGCCCTCCCTCCACCCCCGGGGGTCCCGGCTGCCCGGCATCTGCCCTGCAGCTCACGCCACTGCTGTCACCACTCTTCGCCCCAAAACAGGGACACCGCACAGTCCTGCACATCTGTCCACAAACGCGAACGCCCCGCCCAGACCCCGTAGCGAGGACCCACTTCGCTCGCGCAACGTGGAGCACAGACCCAGCGGCTTCCAGGGGGGCCAAGAGGGTAAACGTCGTGAGCAAGGAGCACGCTGCTGCCCCTGCCCATGCCCGCCGCCGGCATCGGCCTCACCTTCACGCTGGATGCGGGCGAAGTTTCCTTCGGGCTGAGAGGGGGTCGCCCGCCTCACCCGTGTTGGTCGGGGAGAATGACTCCCTGTTAATCCCTTTTACGAGCAACAGAGAAGCTTCCCGGAAGCCTTCACCTGCCCTCTGCATTGGCTTGGACTTTGGCTGGGACCGGGTCCCAAGGGATTTGGAGCCCGCGGCGCCGATCAGACCTGTGGCTCTTCCCTGGGGGGCGGCTGGGGAGTCACCCCCAGGCCCACCTCTTCACGGGAGCCCGGTCTCCCTCCTTCGTGACCTTTCCTCCAGAATCAGGTCTTCTCTGCAGCTGTCCTCGTCACCACGTGGGGATGATCTAGGAACACGCCGCCTCCCTCGACGGCTGGTCCCACCGGCTGTTCGCTCGGTTCTTTGACTCCGATGCAGTCCGACTTCGCTGGCCGTCCTGGGGGGCGGTGCCGTGTGTTTGCACGTGACCAGAGCCCCTTTTGCCTGGTTCTCGTCGTCGGGCATCGGACGTCGTCCCGTCCAGCAGTGGGGAAGTGAGGCCCAGAGCTGCTGCCCAGCGAGCCAACCGTCCATCCTTGGAGGAGGGAACGAGTGTTGGGGGGCTCGTGGCACGGCCCGGAGCTTGCACCTCTCCTAACCAGCTCCACTGCACTGAAGGCCTGGTCAGGCTGCAGCGTCTGAGCTGGACCAGGGGCCACAAGAGGAAATTCCGAGAAGTCGGGAGCCTCCACCCTGGGGCGATCATGGTGACAGTGTGGAGGAAGGCAACCCAAGGCGGGAGTCATTCACCCCCTTCTTACAGAGGAGACTCCGTGGCCACAAAGAAAGTGTTCCCCATCTTTTTGGTAGAAAGAGGGGGACAGAGAGGGTCCCGGTGGGATGGTCTTTGTCAAAAAATATAAAAATAAAGAAATGAAAGATATCCAGCCTTTTGTAATTATGCTTTTTGGGTTCTGAAAGGTCGAACCTGCGAGGTCAGGGCCGGGCCGCGGGACGACGGAAGCTTGGAGGAAGGACGGGAGACGGAAAGGGGGGTCGCTGCTTAAAGATGGTCCCGACGGCA